TGGATCTAAAATGAGATATAAGTACAGCCAGGAATTGTATGGATTTTGATCTAAACACTCAATTCATTAATTTGTTTCATGTGTTTTAAATTAATTGTGATGTCTTCAAATTGACTGCTCCAGCAAGCAAATAGAATCTAACCCTATTCTTACCAAACAACGAAGAGAATTTAACAAACATTTATCTTTCAGGTATGAAAAAACAAACAAAATATCTCCACATACTACCAGGGTTAGGCACCTAGCCCTGTTTTTCAGTAATATTAGGAACTTTACTTAATTTTCATCCAGTCAGAAGACATAAACAGCGCCAGAGCTGGTTCTTCTCTCTTCAAATTTTTGCACTACACCAACAAAAAGATTATGAGTCGTAAAGATTTAATGTTCACCTAGTGGAGAACATACGTCATTGTTTGATAAGCCATTAGATTCGAAATCCTGGCCTCCAGCTATCCTACAGTAGAATAAGTGACAAAATGACCAAATGCCACATCAGTTTTATCAGTACTATATGCTAATTACAAATATTTTTAGCTCAAAATTAATTTCAAAATTGGAGAGAGAAAATTTAAATGAATGTACAGAACAATGTAACATGTGCTAGAAGCAGCTAGGCTAGGCTTCAGCTATCCTACAGTGTAATAAGTTACACACTAACCACATGCAGCACCAGATTTCCCAGTACTATATGCTAATCATCCATTTTTTGTTGTTGTTTAAAATTATTTAAAATATTTGAGAAAAAGAATTGAAATGAATGTATAGTACAATAGAACATGTGTTAGAAGCAGGTAGTACTACATTAATGATAAAAATATTTAAAAAAAATCGAAATTTAATGCAAAAATAAAAGTAAGAACAATGAAACAGAAATTAAGTAAATAAAAAACAATTCACAAGAGCAATATGCCCATCTCAATTTATATTTTAAGTTATCGATAAAAAAAGCTATTTACCAAATTAAATAAGAAGCATTTTTATAGATTTTGCAACAATTGTACAGTGAAAGCATCAATTTATACAAAACAAAATTTCACAGGACATTAAGATAAGGGTGCACAACCTTTTAGAATGAAAGGCCATATGTTCAAGTATTTAGGCATGTTTACATCAATTATGATAAATTTAATATAAAAATCAGTGTTTCAGACATAATTCTTTTTATAAATCAACTTAGTAATGCATTTGCAGTTAATTAAATTCCTTTAAATAATAAAATTCATTCAAAACTGAAGAATACTAAACTGATACTTTTCAAAAAAAATTTCTTTCATCAAAAATATATTTATGAAGAAAAAAAAAACGAAAAAAAAAAAGATGGGAGAAAAGTTATGGTTTCTTATCACATCCTGTGACACAAAAGTTTATTTTTTTAAAAAAAAATTAACTCTAATGTTCCTGAATGGAAGAAAAAAATAAATAAATATTTTAGTCAGCAATGTAAATGCAATTAAAATATTTTAATTAAAAAAAATTTCATTGGATCTAAAATGATTTAAAATAAAACGGAATAACTCAAAATAAGATTCAACATTCAGTTGTTCAGTACAGTATATTTTTAACTTCAAGACATTTACATTTAGAGAATTGAAAGAGATTTTATGAATGTTAAATCTTGAACGGTTTTTTAAGCTACAAAAAATTAGAAAAAAAGTTTTAAAAACAGAAAAGTTTGAAAGTTCATGTTCAAATTTTGCTTGTTGTAATAATATTGTATTAAAAATATTGAGATATATATAAAAAAAACATGTACTAATGAATAACAATAACTAAAAAAACAATATAGAAAGAACTTAGATAGACAATGAAATTGGTACAAATAGAGCATGTCAAAAATGATGATTAAAATCCCTAATTTAAGACTCACAAGTCATAATAATATTGCACTAAAAAAAAAAATCGGACAAACCGTATGAAAATGAGTAGAAATAAATGCCGAAAAACAAAAGAAAAATAGCTTGGGAGAAAAATAACTTTGCTAAAAGAAAAATAGCTTTGAATACAATATTACGAAACTTGAAAGTTGTAATAATATTGCATTCAAAGTATCTGGATTTAAAAAAAAGCACACAAATATCAGACAATAACTACTGAAAACACGATCGATAAGTTACTTGTATTAATGATGAAATCAATGCTGATAAAGAGCGAAATCAATGCTAAAAAATCAGTAAACAGCTGAATAGCTTTAGAAAATTTTTTGTTTAATTTTCAATAATAATCTGCTCTTGACAAATATAAAAATGTTAAAATGTAACAAAAAAGAAAAATATTCAAAAACTAATTTTTAACATCATGAATGGAGAGATGATGAAGTGAAGTTTCATTGCCAGAGAAATACTATACTAAATTAAGTCAAATGACAAATGCATTATTTTTGAACCAAAAAAAAATTTAGCTGAATGCTACGAAACTAAAACAGATATGGAAAGAAAAATTTTTGAATCCACTTAATTTTTATATTTGTAACAACAGTATAAGAAGAAGAATTTCAGTTAATTTTTATACAATCCCACTTTCATCAATTTGACTGCTTATGATTTTCTTTAGAAAAATATTTCATATTCATAGGCATTTACATGTTTTTACAGCATTGAGAAATTTATAAGAGCACACATTACTTACATGGAGGTTTAGCATCTGTCTTGAACATATAATTCCAAAGACTTTGAAACAATTTATAGAAAGCAAATTGAGCCCCTGCATTAGGTGTAATCTGTACCAATGTTGGAGCTAATCCTTTATAGAAACTAAAAAATCCTTCAGTACAATACATAGTTTTTGCTGCATGAAATATATTTCTATAAGTCTGAAATTAAAAGATGTAAGATGATTAAAGTAAAGTAAACTTTAGTATTAATATATCACAATGTATTTGTTAAATATAAAATAACAAAAATATAAAAAAAATATTAAATTTCAAAAATTGAATTGTATACATTTGCTCAAACAAAAAAGATTAACTCTATAATTAAAGAATTTAACACGTAAAGTTAAGTGAAGAATATATCTATTCACATATATTTTTTTATTAGATCAAACATTGTTTACTAGCAACTAATTGGAATGTTCTTATCCCATATTTGTACACTGATAAACACATTCAATGTAAAACAAGATTCCTTAGCGATTTCTAATTATCTTTTAAAGCTTTTTACAACATCTTCGTTCACTGTTTCTTTTTCAACTAATAGTAAAGGATTATAAGAATCTCTGACTTTTGGAAATGCTACAGTAAAAGCATAGAAACAATACTTAAAGCACAAGAACAAAAAAATCAACATGTTCTTCACAAAACCATGGTTAAGCACCTGCCCAAATAGTTAGGGCTCTATCTTTTAATGGCCATGGTTGGAATGCCATGTAATATTAACTCTTGTCAGACAAAGTGCACAGTGCCTGAGCTGGTGCCCCTCTTTTTAACTTCCAACCACATCATGAAGAGGATTTTCAGCCACAGCAGATTCAACCAACAACATTTCTCAGCTGTCAGGATCAAACTCATTGGAACCAACCAACATTGGAACACTACTTAATATATTAAAACCACAATTAAAAAAAACAAAAGAATATAAACCAAAGAAACAGCTGCATAAGTGAAGAAAACTTGCTTTTCAAACAATAGAGAACCCTTGCCTTTGAAATGTTCTGAAGTCTATATTTTTTTTTTTTTTTTTTGAGACTAAGAGGACTAATCAATAGAGAATACAGTAAAGAGGGAACTTAGCCTTTATTTTTATTAAAAGACCATCTCTGGATATATCTAGTAATATTAATGCAATAGTTAGAAACATTTGAAAAATAAAATTTGACTCATTCGCAATTTTTTTAACTTCATATTTAAGCAAAATTCGAGTTACTGAAGAAAAGAATTTCTCTCTGAACTTCTACAGCTTAACTAATGAGAGGACTTTCAGCCATGGCACATTTAAGGCGCACCTTGCTGCATATACAAGTCGGCTGTTTTATTAACTGCCGGATCCAAAAGATAGAAATAAATAATTTCTATAATCAAATTGTTTTGGGTTAAAGCCCCCTTGCAATCAGGCTAACTGTGAGAGGTTCTCGTGGTCTCCCTCTCCATGTAACGCAAATGCAGGTTAGCTCCATCAAAAAGTCCTCCACGAAGGCAAAATTTCTCTCAATACTCGCTCCAAGAGTTCCCTTGTCTTCTGGATTGGGTTCAAAATTACAAGGATGGAGTTGAACATTAATAGTCGTAAACCCACAAAATCGGGTCGGCTGTTCAACGACGGTTATAAAATAAAAATCAAATTGTTTAATATATGAGTTTTTAATTATAAATATATCTTGTTCAATCCTTACTTGTTAATTCTATATCAAGACAAAAATATAATTTCCACTCTTTTAACCAAAATTATATGAAAGGAGTACAACTATGTTCTATGAGGTAAAATGACCCCTTATGAATCAAAGGTTGCGTACTCATACTTTAGTCTTATTAATAATAATTTGAAGTATTTGTAAGCAGTTGTATCCCAAAAAAAAAACAAAAAAAATCATAGAGTAGGTTAATTTTACTGTTCTGTTAATATTTGAGGTGTGAAACTTAAAATAAGAGAGTAAACTTAACAGAGATTATGTTAATAATTTACCATTATTTCATAGTATGTATCATAATATAACTAAGCAAAGCAATCACTATAGAAACATTGATCAAATATTAAACAAAAACACATAATTTTCAAATTTTCTGACTTAATTTACAGCTAAATAAAAGTAAGGTTAATTAAACTTAAAAAAATAATAACTTGTTAGTAAAATACAACAAATCAACTTTGTTATTCATTTTTTTATTTTATATTTCCACAATTTAACAGTTTTCCTTAAAAATCTTTTGATTGAATTCCAATCACTGGTCCGAGAAAGAGAATGTTGGGTCAAAGAAGGAGCTGGGAATTTTTAAAGAATATATCTTTGGAGAAAAAAAATTAACAAAAAGTTTACAAAGTACAAGGGGTATTCTCATTATCCCTAAACGTTTTAAGAAGTGAAAACTTAAATATGATGTGTTAAATACACGTCCAGGTGTGTATTGGCCAACTCAGTCTGTAAGCATGTCTATCACTTCATCATATAATGTTCTATTTTTGATAGTGAGTAAGAAAAACAAACTAATGCAATTAGTAGTTCAATATAAAATATGCAACATAACAAAAATAACAATAATATCCAGAAATGTACTGAAATTAACATGGTTCAAGAAAATATACCATTGAATCATGATACAAAGCTGATCTTATCTGAAGCATAAAAAAATTAGAAACAGATTTATGTACAAAAAATATTATTAAGTTTAGATAATAAATTTATATATTATAAGTTTAGTTAATAATAGAAATTTATTAACATTTTTAACACTAAATCACCTTAGGTTCACCTTGAGCAACAAGCCTTGTTCTCAAAACATCAAAAGGTAAACTTCCGGTTGTAGCTACACAGCCAGCTAATGCACCACAACTGAAATTGATTAAAGTTTTAGCATCATGTTGAAGTTTCTCAGGCAAATTGGATTCCGCTTGTTGAGTGAGTATTTCAAATGTTACAAACTAGAACAAAGGAAACCTTATAATTATTATTAAAAAAAATTGCTTATAACATGAATGTAAGAACAACAATTAAATCAGAAAGCTGATTAAACTCAAGTCAACAAAAAATACCAAATATTAAAAAAAAATGAGCAAATGATCCCTGAATGTAATAACAGAGTTTTATTTATTCATTTTTTAAAGGAAAAAAAATGTTCAAATTTCAATTATTATTTTATCAATAAAATTTTCCTTGTTAAATCAAGGCTCAAAATATATTAGTTTGACTAGAATTAAATTTCCTACATTATTAGAGATATGATACACAAAAGAAGAATTTCATCTAAATAATTTTATGATATTTAATATAGTAATAATAATAAACATATGTTAAAATAATTAAATGAAATAACAACAAAATAAATTATAATGAAAGCAAAAAAATTAATAATTTAAGAACAAAAAAAAAACTTGTTTGAAAGTAAAATAAAAAAACTGCAGATTATCTACCTTGAAAAAACACATAAAAGAAAAGAAAGATTAAATAAAGACAAAGTTAAAAAAAAGTATATAAAAGGTTAAAATATTTTTTATAACAGAGCATGTAAAAGACTACCTGCAATGCACCATATGTGGTAGATAAAAATTGAGCTGGAACAATTCCTTTCCAAAGAGCTTGAATTCCTTCTTCTTTAAGAATGCATTTAAAAGCATGGGCCATGCCATGATATTTCGATTTACGACTTCCATCTATAGGCTCAATTTGTAACTGAAATTTAAGTATAAATCAAAATAAATAAATACTAATCATGATCAAGAATTCTATTATAAATAACAGACAAATCCACTTTAGGGTACATTTCAAATATTACATAAGCATGTTTAAAAATGAAAATGTTCTAAAATTCTACTGCCTGAAAAGCGAGATATGTACCATTCTCACAGCAAATATAAATACTGTTTTTGTGAATTGATAAAAATAAAAAAAAAAGCCTCTTTATAACATAATAAACACTTAATTCAAAACTTCATATTGAATCAAAAATAAGAATAAATCAAATCAAGTTTTTACAATTTGACCAAAAGAAATTAGTATAGGTACAAATTAAAAAAAAGAAAAACATGTACATTTCAAGTGAATTTTATTTCATAATACATAGTCTTATCTCAAACATTTCCTAATAGCTACAATTATTTAATTTTTAAGTACCTGGAATCTTATCTTAATGACATCTAATGGCTGAAATAAAGTACGTGTGACAAAGCCGCTGACAGCACCAGCAGTCATGTAGTCTAACTCATGAAACCTTCCTTGAGATGATGTTCTTTCAAATCCTACCATTTTCAGTCAATCTAAAAAGCTCAAAGCAAAATTAATAATTTAATATGAACATATTCTTGGAGAAAGTATTCCATTTAACTATTTAAGCAAATTAGCAAATACTTATAACAATAAAATGAAGAGTTTGTAAATGTGCATGGGAGTTTCATAAAAAATAAAGAACCGTTTGTGCTATCATCCTGAAATTTGGATAGCAGACAGCAAGGAGTAATTAGATTCTTCATGAGAGACACTTGAAAAATGAATTTTTTTTATTGTTCAATATTAGTCATTGTTTTAAATTAAATTATAGACAATTCTGTTTTTTTTTCCAAGTATTTAAAAGATAACATTAATAATGTTAGTTAGCTGAGAAGTTTATTTCACCAAACTAAGAGTTTTATGTTCTTTAATAATATCTTTCATTTATCTTTTTATATTACATTATCTAGCATTTATCTTTTAATTGTTACGCCAGATAAGCTTAATAATTAACATTAATATGGTAACATATGTGGACTATATAGCCAAATTTGTTATGTGAAAGTTACATGAAACCACATCACAACACATACCAACAAAATATGATTTCAAATTTATAACTTAATTTTCTCATAACTTAACAATTGTCTTGTCAATTACTCGATAAATTAGTTATATAAATAGTTAAACGCGACATTCGATAGACACTTGAAATTAAATACATCCTAGAAAAAGAAAAATATCTCATTTAATAAAATCTATTTAAAATCTAATTATCCCATGCTGAGTTGAAATTGGGAATTTCACAACGTTTTAAGTTACAATAGGTTTCGCAAAAACACATTTTAAAAGAGCACGAAAAATTAGATTTTTATAAGAATTAATTTTAATTTAGTATGTCAGTGTTAATAATTTATATTACAAAATAATTTAATTAAATTAACTTCAAAATATGCGAATTTCTTAAATAAATAGCATATATCAATTATATCTTAATAATTCAGCATATTTTAATAAAAAATTTTAACACAAACAATTCGGAGCAGACAACATACTTGCAAATGCCGATTCTGAAAGAACACCTCGACATATATTATAAATTAGAAAAAGAATATCTTTTTGCATCAGACATGCTTCAAATAAACTAATTAAAGAGATATTCCAAGAATAATAAATATATCATCCTAGTTAATTTCAAAACTCAAATCAAATTGCACTTTAAAGTAAACAGAAACATTAATTTAAAAACACGGTTAAAGTGTGACCATGATTGACCTTTATTAATAAAAAATCATAAATTTAAGATTCTTATTAATCTTTTAGGCTGTTGAAAAATTAGTTATTAAGTAATAGCTTATGTTCAAATGAATTTTTTAAAATAAAATGATGTTTTAAAGCGTGCTTAAAAATTTGTTATGACAGGCCCCATCTTAATTTCATACACTGACGCTTTTCTTAACTGTAAGTTAACTGTAGGCGTTTATGGAGAACGAAACTATGTCAATTGTTTATAAACATAAATGTTTTGAATTTAAATAATTTATAGTGATTATTCTATTCCCTTTTTTCCTACTATTTTCTAAGAAACAAGTATGGCTGATAGTCTTGCCAATAAGCTAATATCTCCGGAATTTAACCCTTTAGAATACGTGAAAAGAAAGGTCTTAGATTGCAACGGTGTGAAAGAACTACTTGTGGAAAAGGATTGCATTAAATCTCTAGCTGATGAAACTAATAGCTTATTAAAGAAAAATGTCTATAAAAATTACACGCAGTTCATTGAAACTGCTAAAGAAATTTCTTATCTTGAAGGAGAGATGTATCAGCTAAGTCATTTGTTAGCTGAACAACAATCAGTTTTGACATCTTTATTGGATGTCTCAATAGCTGCACCTAAAGATGCGGAGTCAACAACTGTTGGAGAAAGTGAAACTGATGAAGAAAATAACAAGAATTTGTCACTGTTATTGGAGAAAGTTGAAGGCTGTGCTACTGTTTTAGAGGTGCGAGGAAGAACAGTTCTTCATAATGGTGAACTTGTGGAGTTATCTGTTTCTGACTATAAACCACTGCATACTGTTTATTGTGTTTTGCTAGATGAAGGCCTTATGTTTGCTACGAAAGTGGAAGATAGCCGAGGACCAATGCAATATCGGTAATTAGTGTTTACATAAAATTACTATTCCTTTAACGGAAAAATTTACATTAGAATCCTGCACTAAGCTTTATCCACAATCGGGTAGTGTCTCTCAAGGTACTAAAAATACATATTTTTAAGGAATCCAAAAATAAGAAGATCAAAATTATCAACAAGTTTTCTCCACTTCCATGTAACAGAATAAAAAAAAAAACAGAACAGAAACAATAAACAGGTTCTTGATACAGAAACATCCTTTAAGTATCTACAAATTTCAGGGGTTGGAACCAAAATATTGCAATTATGACAATTTTTTAATAACAAACAAAAACTATTGAACATACCAATATCAAGATCATTAAAGATAATGTAATGTTTTAAAAAATCTTGAGTATTAATTTAGAGTGTAAGAAATATAACCATTAACATAATAGTTATTGACAACTAATTACCGAATATGCTATTATAGCAGTCATTATTAACAACATATCAAACAGATATTATCACAAGTACTTAGGGTATGATGTGGCCTGTGATGTAACTTGAGATCCTACCTGTAGTACCTTTGCCAAATTAGACAAAATTTTCCTATATTCAAAAACATTAAAACTTTTTATGGAATTCAATTCCAATTATTATTGTTATTATTTTAGAAAAATTAAAAAAGTAGATTTTAAATGTTTACGAATATAATTAAATTTAAACGCATCCTGTATAAAATTATAAATGTTAAGTTATTATAGAAATCAAGCATGTGTTTCTTGAAGTAAAAGACAAAAGTAAATAAAATTAGGGAGTTGGGTGACAGGTAGAAAGAAACAATAGGACCAAATATTAATTTTTTCCCTGAATTTCAAATAGAATACATTAAGCTTTTTTAAAGATTCAAAAAGGATGTAAAACATTACTCTTGAAAATATTAAAGAATAGAAAATTACAAAGATCACTTTTATTTTTATAAATTTTAAAATTTCCTTGAGGGGCTCTAAAAACTTGTGGCATGGGGCTACAGCTCCAGTAGCACCCTTATCAATCCAGGGGCCCTACCATGAACTACCGGGAATGGAATGAAGATTCCCGGCTGGAAAGTGAAACTGGGAAAGTTTGGTTCCATGAATGCTCAATACCGTACCATGAACACTCCCTTGGAATCAGACAGTCCAGGATAACTCGCTCTCAGGGCGTGGCTAAAATTTAACCAATCACACAATTTACTTTAGATTTTCTTTTTGAGTTTGGCAGCATTATCATGAGTAAAACGAAACGAGCTTCTGCTATTTAGATAATATTTTTGACTACTTATTGTTTTATTTTTATAATGTTTTTTGTTTTCATTAGATTAAAAAAACATGAACTGCGAATACTTTGAAATATTCTTCAATTTATTATACATATTAAAAACTTATTAATTAAAAACTGTCATATTTATCATGTATAATTCATAAAATAAAATCCTTTTTTCATAATAAATATTTCTGATATATCCCTTAATATGTTTCATTATTTATTTTAAATATATTTTAAAAAGTGCAACTCTTAAAATAATGATCATATTTTAATGAATTAAGATTCAAAATTTCGTGCCTGAGAACTGCAAGTAGATAGATTACTAATTATACTATTTTTTAAATCTAAACTAATTTCCAGAAAGAATTCAATTCCAGAAAGAATTCCAGAAAGAATTATCAGACTTCCAGAAAGAATTATCAGACAAAACAATTAACGCTTACCTTGATCTCTTTGAAATTAATTTAATTTCAGAAAAGTTCATTAGTTTTCAATTAAAATTGTAACAATATGAATGACTAAAAAGTTACTACTTTGCTTATTACTTTGGTTTATTTGTTACATTGTAAAAGTGACTGTTTTTACTGATAGTTAAATAAATATGTTCACAAGAAATTAATTTCTAGATCTGCGTAAAATTTTTTTCGTGATTTGTAAAATCATTTTTTACGTATGAAATTCTTAAAAATTATAGTTCAGGGAACTACTTCCGCAGCTTTTATAGTATATATTTTAATGGAAAAATGAGAATAAAAATTTTTAAAATGAGTAAGAGAAGAAGTAAATACAAATTTCATAAATATTTTTTTAAACGTTTTTATTCTTTTTTGTGTTTCTTATTATAAATAAATTGTTTACTTTATAATACATCATGCCTGTAAAAAATTCTTTTAAATATGCTGCCATTGGTGTATAGTATAAAGAACTATCGTTAGAAAGGAAGTTAAATATTGTTGAATTAAAAGTTCATCGAAAGAAAATTAAAAAAAAGAAATTATTGGAACTTCAGAAAAAGGTATTGGCCAAGTAATACATCCCGTAATAATAACATAGAAATAGTAACAATTATTATATAATGAGAGCATAATTATTTTTAGTTTGCCGTAATTTCTTAGTTAACTCTGAAAGTATCTTTTCGTTCACACATACTAATGAAACAAAACATTTCTCTTTTAATTATCGTCTTGAAAATGGCTCGGGCACGTTTATCTTATAGAAATTTTGTTATCTTCTCTTATGAAATAGAAAAAAATTAAGACATTCATCGACGAAATATCATATTTAGTCCTTAAAAATTCATCATTCCCTCCTTGGAACGACGATTCCAGGTACCGGAGACTGGTTGGAATGAAACCGATTCCAATTCCAGCCAAGAAACTCTTTCCAAGGTGTTCGTGGTGGGGAAAAATAATTCCCGTTGGAACGTGACGTCATTCCCAGATGGAATTTCATTCCATGGAGCTCATGGTAGGGTTCCAGCTATGTTAATATTATTCACAGTGATAATTGTTGAATATGATATTTTGGGTGTTGTTAAATTTTGTTTTAGCAACAAAAGTATTCTATTTGTAAAAAGATTTATAATACAATTCAGAAAATGTTTTGCTAACACATGGTCCCTACAACTATTTAGTATGGCTTATTCCATTATTCTTTCGTTTTTATTTTATTAAATATTTTAATAAGTAAGAGTCTGTGCTCCTAGGATAAAAATTTGTGGCAAAGGCCCGATATTTCAGTAAAATTAAATAGATTTTGATTCTTTTTATTCTATTATATGCTAGTTCCTAGAAATATTTATTTTTGTTGATTCCTGTTAATAAGTAAACGTAACTGATTAGTAAAGTTTACAACAACAACAACAAAAAAATTCCTGCTTTGCAAACTTAACAGTCACATTGGCAAATTAAGACTGGGTTCTTTATAACACAGAGGTACTTATTCTTCCTTATTTTGTACAAGAAAAGTTTAATTACAGATGTATTTAATAAAGTGCAGCATATTCCTTAAATTATTTTGCTATAAACTTTTAAAATCTATGCAGTAAACCTGTAAATAAGTAATTTAGTTTTAAATCTATTACTAATCCCATTTTGCAATTGATGCTAATAGGCTCTACTTTATTCTAACTTTCTTTACCTTTCATTATAATTTCCTAATTTTTCAAATTGTATAAAGCTTTAAAATACCAACAGTTACATTTTTGCTTCATTACTTTTATGTATTGAAAACATTGGCATGTGCATAGGAAACGCAACAAATAGAATGTTATCTTACTTAATAAATTATTCGCTTTAAGTTGGAAGAAGAAAAAAAAATGAGTGAGTTCTTAAGAAAGTTGACTCGATGAACCAATGATTTGGTTAGACTTTTTTTCTTCCTCATATGACCGTCGTTGAACAGCCGACCCAATTTTATGGGTTTATGACTACTAATGCTTTATGACTACTAATGCGTAGCCTTGTAATTTTGAACCCAACCCAGAAGACAAAGGAACTTCTGGTTCGAGTATTGGGAGAAATTTGTCTTCATTGAGGACTTTTTGATGGAGCTAACCCGCATTTGCGTTACATGGAGAGGGTGACCACGAGAACCTCCCACAGTTCGCCTGATGGCAAGGGGCTCTAACCCATGATCTGTCCACCACTGAGGATATTTCACGTCAGCAGTGTGGTTGGTGCAAGCTGGATGTGGATTTCGTATTGACTATGATTCGAACCCAGTTCGCCTCATTGGAAGGAAAACACTCTATCCCCTGAGCCATTACGGCTCTGGTTAGATTTTATTGATCTTGACTTAGCATTTTTGTTTCATAGAATTAGTTCTGCTAGCTTGCAAAGAATAAATTCACATGAAAGAAAATAAATTAACTGTCAAACTCAGCTGAACTATAAAACTCTATTTTATTCCCTCACTGTGCAAGCTTTTTAATTTTAAGAACATTAAATATCTTTAAGCAAATAAATCTTTTTTTAAAAAAGGTGTACATGGTCAAAATAACATTGAACATTGTTTTAATTTGCAGATTAATATAATGCTCTGATTGATAAAACAATTATTTTAAAATCTTGCTTAATTTTGATTTTTTATAGGTATCAAGCACTTTATGAACTAGATGGACTTGCTGTTGTAAATGTTAAAGAGGAACTGAGCATAAAAAATGCTTTCAAAGTTCTGATGTTTCCCGAAGTTCGAGTATTACAATGCCATTCAGCAGCTTCAAAAAAAGAATGGATCACTCGCATTGATCAAGCCAAAAAGAAAAAACTATCCCTGTTTGAACATCATGGAAGTCCTACTGAAGCGCCAAATCCTTTTGAAGATGATGGGAGTAATCCATTCGAAGATGAATATTCATCTCGGCAAAAAAGTGCTCAACTAGAAACGCCAGCTTGGTTACTTGAGCTTCCTGAAGAATTAGATGTTTGCATTGCATTGAGGCTTTTTGATAAGGCAGTCGAACTTATCCATCGAGCTAATGCCCATTGTTCTGCGTTTCCTCGCAATACTGCTGTGCGAGATATCAGGATTAGGATTGAAAACCGTACTAAACAGTTGGTTAATATTCTTAGTGAAGAACTCAAAGTTTCCCCTGATAAGTCATTACACGGCGGTCCAAGAGCAGCAAGAAAAGCAGTCGGTGTACTTGTTCGTTTAGGAAAGTCTTCAAGAGCCTGCAATTTATTCTTAAAGCGGTGTTCAGCTATGTTGAAACAAAATATGAAACAACAAAGAGCTGAAGGTGCTACAGCTAGCTACATTGAAAAATTGTGCTCTGTATTCTTCACTTGCTTAGCAGAAACTGGTAAAGAATTTGATAAAGCATTTACTAACAATGCCTGTGCCTCTTCATTTGTTCTATGGGCTAAACTTCAACTAGACCAATTTGTCCAGATTTTTTCTAAGCATGTGTTTACTCCTCAAGTCAGCTCTTCCATTGCTACAGAATGTATTGCCTGTGCCCGTAGTCAGTGTGATACTTTATCAAATGTTGGGCTTGATTTATCTTTTGTTTTAAATGATCTGCTTGCAGGTCAGGTAGAAAGACTTGTCACAGAGATGCGGGATAAGTTGCTGGAAGCTGTGAAACTAAGAGCTAATGATGACAAATGGCGACCCCAAAATTTACAAACTCCTGCTAACACTAAGAAACTTATGGATGATTTACGGGAAATGGGTATATCTAATGTTGAGGTTTATCACTACGATGAATGTTGGCTTGCGCTGACAGCTAACAACACTGCATTTGCTAAAATGTATTTGAACTTCCTTGATGATTTGTTAAAGTTATACACACCATCAGTGCATGTTCTCTTCAATGAAGCTCTCTCTATTACTTTTCATACACATTTATACCACATAAAAAATGCTTATCAGAAGGCTTTAGATTCTTCGGAAAGGCAGTTCATAATAAAAAATGCCAGTTTCCTTTTAGACATTTTAAAAATTGTTGTCGAAAGATATATGAGTAAGCTCAATCGCCCATGCTTAGTCACTAAAGATTTGCAGGAAGAGTTAAATAAGCTTGTTTCTAACTCAAGTAGAAGTTCTTCTTTCACAAAATATTCATCTACAGCTTACATTTAAAACTTCAGTAAAATTATTAAAATTGCTTATTCGTGTAGTTTATTTTTATATCCTTAAATATATTCATTTTGTGTACACTAGTCTTTCCTTAATGTATTCTTTTTGTTATGTCTAAATTAGAAAAAATAATTTTTATTTTAAATGGAATGTAGTACTGTTGCAATAAATAATGCTCAATTGTCTTTTAATTGTTACTTGGCTAAACAAAACAAACAAAAATTTGAGTCTAAAATTATTTTGTTTGTTTTTTTAATAAATACATTTAGTTTGTAATAAACTTCTTTCATTTGAAATCAAGTTTAACAGTTTCAGATTATGTGGTATTGCGCCTAGTAAATGGTCAGAAAAATATTCTACCTCTAATTCCTTATGACACCTTACTAGCTTACAGCACATTTCCATCGTTTTATGTGCATATTTAACAATGTAGGTAATTTAGAATGTAAATTATAAAAATTAATTTGTAATAAACTTTTAAAACTTTGTATATTTTTGTTGTAATTTTATTCTACGTGTACCAATTTTAATTATACTTTCACAGCTTTTCTAGATAAAATAGTAATAACGTTTACATGCTAAAGTAAATCGAATCTTTCTGTTATTCTTTTTATTTTGAAACTCGTAACTAAAGTGTAAGACTTGATTTGGACTAAAGTTTTATATCATTCAAAAAACTTCAATTACAATAAAATTAAGTTACCAATAAAAAATGCATTGAAATAAAATTCCTTTAATTCTCATGTTTATATTTTTAATTGTCATGCTTAGAGTAAAGGAAAAAAATATTAAGTGGTGAAAGAGTATTAATTTTTCCATTGCATATTTATTTCACAAACATCCTTTTTGCTTTATATTGGTGACAGTCACTTTGCTGACAGATCATATTGCTACACAATCTTTTCACTGAAGCATTAATTTCACCTACACGATCATATAAACTTTTATATATGTTTTCTGTCTCACTTCTTTAATCATAAATATGTTATTAAATAACTTATTATAAAAGTATGGTTTTCAGCTAAGATCTGGAGAAGCAATTATTAAGTATTAGCACAGAAAAGATTTCCATAGGCATATTTTTTTTAAAAATTTACTAACATGTTTTTATTTTTTAGAAATTAATTCAAAATTGTTTAATTTAAATGTAACTTGGAAAAATTTTTTTTATTTAAAAAAAAGACAAAATATTTTACTTTAATGGTTATGCATGTGAAACACCCCTGACTAGTCTTGCATATCATTCATTTATTTTTAAATTTAAAATTTCACCATTATTACGCAAAATGGCAATAAATAAATATTTCCGGTCACAATATAGAAAAGTGAATAATAAACATTATTTCACTTTGTTTTCTTCTTACAATTTTAAGCCAACAACCATCGGCTGTCCTACTTTTAGAATTCTTGCCTTTAGTTAACCACAATCTATCATGCTGCCTATTCCCTATCTTAACAGAAGAGTTAAAATCGGCATTAAGGGTAATAAATGAAGTCAGAAACTGTTGCATTCTATTTCATTTTTTCCTCGCATCTTGTAAAAACTTATGTTTTGGCAATTTGCTATTAGTTAACTGGTTTGAGTTTCAATGCTAATTACAGTTTAGTGTGTGGAAGTAAATACAGTACTAAGAAAAGGCATTTACAGTTTGGCATGAAAAATGAATATTACGCCAAGTTTGCTATGACAATTTCATTTACTTTTATGTAATATATATAGTTAATCAATTTTGATTAAGTCGGAAAAAATGTCTCCTTAAGCAGATTATAAATTATATCTTTTCATTTGGTTCTTTATCCAGCTCTATTTCTTTTTCCTTAAACGAATATTCTGCGCTAAAGCTTTCCTGAGTTTTTTGAATTTTTGTCTATTTTTACTACAAGGCCGGTTTTTAACATTTTTCATAATGTTCATCATATACTGATTAATAAATTTACCTAACTTTTGGCCACAATGAAGCATTTTATGTATTAATACTTAGTCAGTAGTCCAGTTTTATGAATTGAAAATAAGAAAAACTTGGGATTTATATTTTTATCTTACTTTCCAATGATTATCATTTTTATTGTTCTCTTGATTTTGAAAATCTTTAGGCAAGAAATTTTTTTTTAATTGTTTTTTCATTTGAACAAATTCAGGAAAAATTTTATCCTAAAAGTACACATACAAAGTGAATTAATTTCATTTAATAACAAAATAATTGAGCGGTAAGGTTAATCTGTATTTAACAGTTTCCTTATTGCTACAATCAATTTTTCATATAAAAAATATATAATATAGTGTAATAATACATAAATATGATTGTAATATTAAAACATTGTTTCATATTAAAAATCTAATACATTGATCAGTTTCAAAAGTTGTTAATAGTGAAAAAAAAAATTGCCTCTTGTTTTAATAAAAATTAGTTTTGGAATAAAAATTTAGGAGATGGGTTACATCGTTAAACTTATCCTACAATTAATTATTTGCGCATATATATATATTATTTAGTACTTGTTAATATTAGCCATACTATAAAAATATCAGCTATAAATAACCAAACACTACCTGTCAAACAAACCTGGGATAATAGGTTAACATTAATTATACCAATGGTTTTTATCTGGTTTAAACCCAGCCCTGCTTGTGAACACAAAAAGAAAATAATAAATTATATGTAGGATTATAAAAAATTGTTCATGATACAAATCAAAATTCAATGAAAAACTAAAGTTACTTTAGAATTTTGTTTCGAACTTAAAACAACTTCTGTCGAGTCTCAGAAATAACCAAAATTTGAGTAAATTTATTTAAATGCACATTATATGAGTAATAAATGTGAAATGCATGTTTGGCATTGCTATCTTGTCTGGATATCAATGTTAATCCAATGGTTTTTATCTGGTTTAAACCCAGCCCTGTTTGTGAAAACAAAAAGAAAAAAAATTATATGTAGGATTATAAAAAATTGTTCATGATACAAATCAAAATTCAATGAAAAACTAAAGTTACTTTAGAACTTTGTTTCGAACTTAAAACAACTTCTGTCGAGTCTCAGAAATAACCAAAATTTGAGTAAATTATTTAAATGCACATTATATGAGTAATAAATGTGAAATGCATGTTTGGCATTGCTATCTTATCTGGATATCAATGTTAAACGTGTAAATAGGTATTACCTAAAAATTTTACTTTTTAGACAATCACTTTTTACACCTCAACGTGTACCCCTAACAAGTACTAGGATGCTTCAATTTCCCCAAGAAGTACCCTCAGCCACATCCCTGGCAGACTGGAATTTGTTACCTGTAAGTTATAAAAAAAAAATTTCAACTAAAGATAGAAAATTCTAATTATTCTGATGGCTAAATGTGCAATTTTTTATTTTTAAAACATATCTTGTAAGAGCTTGATAGTATAAAATGGCAGTCTTATTAAAAAATGGTTTTAAAACCTTTTGAGACTCTGCTTTTGAAGATTTGATTTTAAAAAGTGGCTTATTCTCTAATCCTTTGATTTTGGCAGTGAGTATATGTATAATAAATTTTATATATCTTTTAATTGGTGTCTTGACTATAGAATCTCATACTACAAATAAGGATAAGTTTTCTTTTGACATAAAAGGAACTCAGCGGAACTGTAAAGAAACAATTAACACAAAATAGACTTTACTTTAGACACATTCTTTATTACAATCAACCTTAATTACAATTAAACAAAATTTATTAAAGAAACAAATATAAAAGATTAATTAAAATAGAGGCATGAAAATTATCCACAATTCACAGTAAATTTATAAATGGCTTTTCCACGTCTGCAGTCAAAATGACTTTGATTTTACATTTTTATTTTACCAGCATTTTTTAAATTTTTTTCTTTTTTTAATTTAATAAACTATGCTGTCTTATGTTTGCTGAATTAAAGGTTAAAAAATAATTTTTTAAATAAAAGTATAAAATAAATAAATTTTTTCATATTTAGTAAAAAAGAAAAGTTATAATATGAGTTTCATTAATTAAGACTTATTATTAAACATAAAATAAACTTAATCACATTTTAATTATATTTGTAAAAAAAATATTGAAAAACATTTTCAGCAATTATGAGCAACCAAAAATATATCAATGTTAAAAGTAGAGAACAGTATTACTTTACTTTCTTAAAAATAAAACCAAAATTAGAAAATAAATTCTACATTTAATGATTCATCATAAGTGAAAAGTAAATAAAATATACATAAATTATATGGCTATTCAATTTAAATTAGTTACAGGAAAAATTACCATCGAAGTTCAGATACTTTTTAAATCTTACAGGTCACTAAAATATAACAAAAAATATTTATTTGTAGCATTATTATATTAATATGCTTATTAACATACAAGATACTTTAAAATTTACAGAGCGTTCATTAGTAGTGATTCGAAATTTAATTGACATCTTTCTAACTGTTTGATGAACTGTATCATATATTTTTGTAATTATAAAATTAAGATAAATGCAAACTAATTAAAATGTATTTTTAATCCTGATATATATGGCAGCTAGGCAAATTGAATGCAATAACCAACATAATTAAAATTTAAAACCTTAAGCCAATTAAAAACTACATTTTGATTCATAATTGCTCAAGTATTTACTAAATGCAGATATACAACCATTTCAAGAGTTCAACATTACAAGCTCAAGGAAGGCACCATTTCAAAACATTTTAAAATTAGCTTTTACAAATGCACAAGTTCTGGCATTAAAAGATATTTACTATATCATTTATAGACAATTTGGCTAAATTAAAAATAATGGAAAATGTACAACCATGAAATGAAAATGCGATAGATATGAATGAATTATAGAAATCTCTTTTTCACAACAACAAACAAGATCTTTTATGACCTTAAAAATTACTGATATCACAGTGATAAGTTGGGATTACAAGTTTAATCTAGTCTCGCTTTTGACCCCTTCCAATTCCATGACCAGGAGCTACACAACAAAGAAAAAAATCAAAATATTAACAACAGGATTTTAACATAATTAACAGTAAAAAAAATGCAACAAAATATATATTTATTAACAATTTTATTTTAATTGTTCCCTCTGTCATAAATTTGGACAACATGTTTAAACTGCAATCAATCATAGATATCATTTTTATTACTATTTACAACTATTATAAATTTATTTTTAAAAAACTTTCAGAATTTTCATATTTAAAACAAAAATAATACAATTAAAAGAAACTATTACAAAAAAAAATGCAAAATATTAAAAGCTGATTATTGCGTTAACTATAATAAAACGTTTCTAACAAACCTGTGGCTGGTGTCATGTTTAGTCTTAATCGAGCCATCTGAGCAGACATGCAAGTTGATGCTGGTTGTCTATGGCCACTAGTTACAGATGAAGATACCACACTTTGAATGTCACTCTGAATATCAGAGAACTGATCAACTTCACTTTCTGTACCAGAATAATAGGCTGTGAGATTGGAAAAAAGATGTTACAATTTGATAAATATCAGATGCTGACAATTTCAAAAACAACAACCAGTAAAAGTAGTATAAGAACTTTTATGTAATTTAAAAGTAAAAAAATAAAATAATAATAAATGATACAAAGAAGAAAATTTGCACATAAGGATTACAATAGAATGTTAATCATTCAAGTGATCAAAACTAAACCAATTTCATATCAATCTAATGTTGTAACAATACATCCATCCAAGCCATTTGATATTAAAAATATCTTACAAAATGTTAACGATATAACCATTTTCAATTGAAAAAATTAAAATAAGCTCACATTCTAGGTGTACTTAACTTATTGGCACCGAGCGCTTCTCATTGTATTGGTATAAAGCTTTTAAATTTATTTCATAACCGCTGTTGAACAGACAACCCAACTTTTTGGGTTTAGAACTATTAATGGTCAGCTCAGTAGACTTGTAATTTTGAACCCAATCCAGAAGACAAGGGAGCTCCGGGATCAAATATTGAGAGAAATTTGTCTTTGTAGAGGACTTTTTAATAGAACGTTTTAACACATTACATGGAGAGGAAAACCACCCTTGGTAAGCCTCACGGCAAAGAAGCTCTAACCAATGATTTGTCTACCACTGAGGATATTTTATGTCAGCACTGTGATCAGTGCGAGCCGGGTGCGGAATTCGCATCGATCAGCCATTGCTGGGATTCAAATCCAGTTCCCCTCATTGGAAGGCAAACGCTCTATCCCCTGAGCCATCAAGGCTCTGGTCTAAAGCTTTGATGAAAATTTATTAATTCCCATTGTTACAATGAATTCTACTTGTACCTGCCAAGAAACGATAGAACCTAGTATTGTAATCCAATGCAGAACACCAATTAAAATAAGAGTACACTAGCAAGTTGGAAACTATTGATACTCATATTCAAGTGCAAAGCTTTAGTTAAAATGTAAATACGCTAGCTGACAAAGAAGTCTAAATTTTGATAGATGCTAAGAAGGCACACTGGCAAGAGGTTAAAGAATGATTTAAATCCAAACTATATAATTTATTTTACCGAAAATTTTGGTTCCTTTTATATAGAATGGATTCATATAAAACAAATATGAAGCATAACTTATCGATTCTTTTTCGAGTAATGGATTCAAACGAATTTTGAAGTACTTAACTCCAAAGAAGGGTAAAATAGGTTTAGTTTTAAAATTAGTATTTATTTCCTTAAAAAACATATGGATATTGTTTTAGAAATAAAACTGCACTTAAATAAATGTATTTGATTACATTAAAAAATTAAGAGCAAAAAATATTTGTTTTTTCATATTATTAAACAGTTAATGTTCACAGCTAACAAAATTAGATTTTACTCAGGATGTAGTATATTTTATTGAACTCTACACAATTTCATCAAAAAGCAGAAAAAGTGTTTGCGGTTTACTTGAAATATAAATAAGAATGTAAAGTTTATCTTGGCGTAATTTTTTTTTTCAAGTTAATGAAAATGCACAAATATTATTTCATGATTACGACAAAATTTTCATACATTCACATGCCAGATATTTTATCAAATTTGACTTTATATACAAAGATATACTTACTGCTTCGACTGTCTAATGGTAGAGGAGGATTGTAGTTGTTACGACTTAGCTTAGGTGGATCCTGAAAAAATCAAAAGTTAGATTTACAAAGATTTTTAAAAAAATTCAGTAATTGATAAATATGAAGATTCAATGAAGCTTGGTACAATTTAAATAACATACAATCAACATTCAACAAAACAGGATATTTAAAATAAATAAGTAAAAAAATAAAATTAAAAAATGATGGGAAATAAATTATTTGGTGGCTAAATAATCAATCTTTATTTTTCAGCTGTAATCATTAATTCGTGAATAAATTAAGTGAATAAATTCGTGAATAAATTAATTCATTAATTCGTAATAAAGAAAAGGCAAAAATATATTATAAAATATTTTTGTGTCGAAATCCTAAATTTGTATGACTATACTACTACAGGGTGGCCACTCAAATCAGATTTCCCTGATTTTTCCAGGTTTTCCAGATAAAAATCTTAAAATTTCCAGGTTTTTGTTTCTTTTTTCTTATAAAGTGTGGGATGTGTACAAGAAAAGTGTCTATATTATAAAATATTTTATTCAAAATGTTATTTTTTTAACATATCATCTTGAGAAAAATAATTTATTTTGGCAATTTGGCAAAATTTTTTATTTATTTTTCAAATGTTTTGGTACAAAATTTTGAATCAAAAATCATATATTGACCAACAAAAGAATAAAATTAAATATTAATATACAGTTGGTTCTTAAAAAAAACATATTTTAAAAATATGTTATAAAAGGTTAAAATGAAATAGAAAAAATTAGCATTAATGCAACAATTGTAACGATTTATCGACAAACATTGCTGTTAGCGATTGTAAAAAAATGTGCGATTGGTTAGTTTGCTGACAAAAAATAATTCACAGATTTCTTTGAATGGGAGTAGAAAAGCTTTCAGAAAAAGAGTGTAATATAAAATCTATTATTATTAAATTATAGCCAACAATTTTTGGAGAATTTTATAAAGTTAAAAATACAAAAACATTTTGTCAAAATAGAAAAAATAAATTACGCCCAAAATATTGGAACTAACTTGAGCCATAAATGGATTCAGCCCAAGGACAGAATTTAAAAACAGAAGCTAATATCCTAATCCCTTTTTCCATCTCCACCAGAATCTTTCCTAAATTGCACAGTCCCATAGCAACAAAGGTTTCTGCATTCGTTTAGCAACATTGGGAGAATTTTATGTGACGTTCTAGTTTAACAGAGCTGCAATGGAGCAAATTTTGATGCACAAGCAAAGTATCGCTAAGTTGATGATATTTCAACTGTTTGGAGAAACATTTCCGTTTAAAAAGAGTGGGTATAATGGATGAAATAATTTAAATTAAGAAAATTAGTAAATAATTTAAATTAGTGAAGTTAAAAAAATTATCAAAGAAAAAATTTCCAGCTTTTCTTTAAAATTCCCTGATTTTTCCATGTTTTTATCTAAATTTCCCTGATATTTCCAGGTTTTTTCCAGTATAAAAAAATTCCCTGATAATTCCAGGTTTTCCAGGTGGGTGGCCATCCTGTACTAATACCTCTAAGGCAGTATACAAACTTTATTTTGTAGCGTACCAGTCTACAGAATAATGTCAAGTCTTCATAATAACTTTGCAATAAATAATTTACACTTGATAATAAAATTTGCCCTTATCTCAGATGATTAAACCTGAATAATAGAAAAATAAAATACATTCACATAACAAGCATTCTAAACAAAAATGAATTGTGCAATTCATAAGAGTAATCACGTACAGATTAAGGAAATAAACAAAATATAATACAGTAGTCTCCACTTAGTATGATCACAGTTAATATTAGTTAATATTATCTTCAGATGGATAGGAGAGTGGTGATTGGAAGTTAATAGGACAGGATCATTTTCAAATCTCAGAAGAGAGAGGAACTTATCTGATCCGTGAGCTTGCTGAAATTTCATGCTCTGCTGACATGCATAAAGTTTAACAATATGGGTAGCAGAAAGCAAACTGATTAAAAATTAAAACAAAGATTCAGGCATGAAAGTGGTAGAAAATAAAAAAAGCTGAACTTTTACAATGCAGGAAGAGGGGGGGGGGGAGTCGTACTGTGATATATATAAAAGCAACTTTTAACACTACCAGGAGATTTTTTATATAGTTTTAAAAGTGACAGAAGCATTTAGATTATATAGACAGTGAAATTTAAATTTTTTAAAAATTTTGATCACTACTAGCGGCTAACTTGTTTTTAAAATCATGTTAATATGTTTCGCGATATTGGATATTAAAATCACATGAATATGAATTGCGATGCTGGATTTTAAAATCACGTGAATAAGAATAGCGATGTTGGATTTTAAAATCGTGTGAATAAGAATAGCGATGTTGGATTTTAAAATAGTGAGAATAAGAATCACGATATTGAATTTTAAAATCGCGTGAATAAGAATCACGATATCAGATTTTAAAATCGCGATGTTGGACTTTAAAATCGCGTGAATAACAATCGTGATGTTGGATTTCAAAATCACGTGAATAACACACGCGATGTTGGATTTTAACACACAACATGATATTGGATTTTAGAAGCATGAAAATACAAACTGCGATATTAAATTTTAAAATCGTGTAAATAAGAATCACAATACATAATTTTTAGATACTGTGAATACTTATCACAACGAGTTATGTTCATACCGCGTATAAATAAGAAAACCAATGTTTGATATTGCAACGCGTGCGAATGAATCACAATATTGAAATTAAAAATATATTAATGCGAATCGCGACATTGGATTTTAAACTCGCGGGTACACGAATCGCGATATAAGGTTTTAAAAACGTTGAAATACAAATCGCGATGGTGGATTTTTAAATTGCGTGAATGGGAATCGCAACAAGTAACTTTTAAATCGATTAAATACGAAAATCGATGTTTTACATAAAAATCGTCTGAATAAGAATCGCAATTTTAGCAGATTCTGGTGCAGTTCCTAATATTTAAAATTCTGAAAATCAGCCAGACTTTTTCCAATCTATATCGGAAGTCGCGTTTGTCTAAGCATCGGCGTACATGCTGAAATTCTACCCATTTTCTTTTGAAGATAATTTTTTCGGGAGGCTACTGCAAGGGGGGGGGATTTCGTCGCAAGTCCGACTATTGTTCGCTCGGCTTGGGTTTCTCTTATTGGACTCCCAAAAAGTTATTGGAACATGGTCGAAAATTTTAAAAATTGGGAGAAAAAAGCAGATTTTTGCTTTTTTGCAGAAGTCTTTCATTCCTGAAAGATTATAATAGATTACCAAAAATGAGAAATGCAATCAAAATAGTAAGNCAATGACTTTCAAGGACCTAAAATCAAATTTTTCAAGGACCTATTCGGCATTGTTATATGCTTAAGTACATTTCAACCAGATTTTACCCTGCCTAGAAATTGTATATTTTTAAATCACAATGCTTATTTGACAAAAAAGAAAAATATTTATTAAATTTATCAGCTAATAATACAAATGGTTGATAGTTAGATAGCTGTTTCAAATCACTTTAAAAAATTCCAATTAACCAAAAAAAAAAAAACTCAAATTGACATAGGATACTAGCCAACATTTAAAACTAGCATCAGCGAAACGTTATGAAAAATTTAATGAAGTGAATTAGAATTAATGAAACTGAATGAATGTATAATGCATATTACATTAGCGTGAATTTTAAAATTTAGTGAATATACCTAATTTTCACTAAGCGTAATTTTTAAATCGCCTTTATACGAATCTAGTTATACTATATGTGAATCAAAATTATAAGAAAGGTGAAGTCTCGAAGATTGCGTAAATCACGTAGCCCAGTGTGTGATTTGTACATTAAAATGGAATTGTAGCAAATGTTTTTTTCAAATCAGAATAATATGAATAGCAAATGATAGAAAACGCACGAACTAACAAGATATAAATGTGAGATACATAAATCACTTTAATGTGAATTCTGCGTGATTAGTTAATAGTTTTCATGTGAATAGTGATCATTATGATGTAAATTGCAATTTGTGATTCGAAAGGTTCTTAATATAGAACAGCTATGTGTAATCCATGAATCATTTTGATGAGAATTGTGGGCAGTAATTCTTAAATTTCTCTTTTATGAATCGCAATGTGATTTGTAAACTACTAGAATGAGAATTGTGAGGCATGATTCTGAAATTACTTAAATACATATCATCTTAATCAGCTATGTGTAAATACGCATCATCTTAAATCAGCTATGTGTAATCCTTAAATCATTTTGATGAGAATTGTGGGCAGTAATTCTTAAATTTCTCTTTTATGAATCGCAATGTGATTTGTAAACTACTAGAATGAGAATTGTGAGGCATGATTCTGAAATTACTTAAATACAT